GGGTTTAGGGTTTGGGGCTGAAGGGTTGCACATCTTCTGTGTTGCTACTCATGTGTTACATACTGTAATTGTCCACCCAGTTTGATGCAATGTGCTTGTCGATTGATATTTGTGGGATATTGTGTTTACCTAGGCTTTTGAAGTTTCGCGCCAGGAGTTTAGGGTCTTTAGGATCTGCCGTTTTGTAGTGTTCTCCACAGCCAAACGGCTGGTGCACTATTGGAAAATGATAACTGGTTCTGACAATCACAACCAACAACACCGGCACCAGCACCGGGAACCATAGCAGCAGCAGCAGCAGCAGCAGCAGCAGCAGCAGCAGCAGGATCAGAAGCAGCAGCAGAAACATTAAGAGTAACGGTAACAGAAACCCTTTAACACAGAAACAATAGCAGCAACAGTAACAGTAGCAATGCGTGTCGTAAAAAGAGTAATGCAAACACGCAAAGGCATGCGTAGGAAGAATGACCACAATGAGATCAGTAGGTACTAACAACTCTGCCGACAACTACCCGATTCCAGGAATGCAGTCCTGCCTCAGCACCAGTATCTCTGGGAGGCTTCCGTCCCTGGAGCGGCGAGTAGCTGATGCTGAAGGGATACAGCGGCCGGCCGTTACCTCAGGTGTTGCCTACACCCTCCACCCTGAACCCTAAAGCCGGAAGGGGCAGAGCGGGTCGAGGAGGGTAGGCCTGGAGTGCTGTTTAAAGGTTGCGGAGGGGTTGGGGATTTGAACCCTAAACCATAAACCCTAAACCCTAATCCTAAACCCTAAACCCTAAACCCTAAACCCTAAACGTGCAGTGTATTGAAGTGCGGAGATTCGGATGAAGCGTGCGGAGCTGTAGGGTGAAAGAGAGTGCTCTGGAGTTATGGAAAGGATTCTATAAGAGTGGCGTAGGAGTTGTGAGTCGTTTTGGGGCTTGGGTGTCGGATTCGGGTTTCTTTCGGATACCTAAACCCTAAACCCTAAACCCTAAACCCTAAACCCTAAACCCTAAACCCTAAACCCTAAATGTTATGGGGCTTCACGGTTGCGGGGTTTACTCCTTAGGGTTTCGGGTGCAAGACCCAATGACCTCAAGGCACATTCCGGAATTCAAGGGTGTCGGGATCCCTGGATGCTGCCCCCAACCCACAACCCTAAACCCTAAACCCTAAACCCTAAACCCCAATTCAGCAACGCGGAACATCGGAAGGGTTTCTGGAACCGGGATCGAACCAACACCGAACCCCGCCCCCAGCAACAAAGCCCACAAACTTGCTACATAAATCCTGAGATGAAAAGAGCGAGATTCAAGGGGTGGTACAGAACTAACCCAGACAACCTCAATTTCCCCCCAGTCCTCGCTAAGGTTCCCCAATTTCCGTCCCAGCCTCCCACCTTGAACCACCCTCCCTCTGGGGCCCTGTCAAACTTTCGTCACCCTAGGCCCACAATGGCGAAACCCCCATGCAAGGAACCCCCTACAGCCCTAAACCCTAAACCCCTAAACCCTAAACCCTAAACCCAAAACAACAACTTCACGGAAAGCTCGGTAAAGAACCTTCATAGAACTTTTAAGAAACAGTTAGGCTCAGAGTTATGGTGCAGGGTTTAGGGCTTTAGGGTTTAGGATTTAGGGGTTTGGGTTTAGGGTTTTAGGTGTTTAGGGGCTTAGGGGTTTAGGGGTTTAGGGTTCAGGGTGTGTTTTAGGGTTTAGGATTTGAAGGCATTAGGGGTTTAGGGGTTTAGGGGTTTAAGGTACCGCTACAGCCCTGTGAAACCATCGGCTTTCACACAAACAGGGTGATCCCGAAACTCGCAACCCTATACCCAGAGACTCCAACATCCCTTAATTAAGGAATATACCTTAAATTGTAATAGGATCCCTAATATGATTTAAGGTATATTCCTTAATTAGGGGATATTGGAGTCTCTGGGTATACAACCCTGACGCCCAGACCCGGCCCAGAACCACTAAGCCCGAAACAAACGCCGGGCTCCCCAATTCCCAAGCGCACACCCGAAATACCCAGCCCTAAACCCATAATGCAGGAGCCTTAATAATTAGAGTAGGGGTTTGGGGGTATATAATACTATAACTATAAGAAGGAACCCCCAAAGCAATATAGGTATTTATTAAGGCCCCTATATTAAGTGCCAGCTCACCGCACCCAAACGACGCCAATCTTCGGTCCTCATTTAAACAGAAACCCCGGCTCTAAGAGGTACCCTACACCCGAGATACCCAAACCCTGAACCCCAAGCCCTACCAAAAGTCTCCATTGTAGTTCCCTTTTTTGGTTTAACCTGTTCTATATTTAGGATCCTAGAAGGCAACCCCAAAAAGGAACTACAATGGAGACTATAGGCAAACCCTAAACCCCAAACACTAAACCCTTCCACTACAACCAAGGAGCTTGTCAGAGGCTTCCACGGCGACACCGTGAAGGGCTGCCTCCAGTCGCAATCCAGGAAGATCTCCTTGGACGTAGAAGGATTACTCTAGGAGTTTGAGGGAGTTTGAGAGAGTTCTGACATGGGTTTCTATGTGGGTTCCTGCAAGAGTCATGTCGGGGCCTTAACAATTAGAATAGGGTTTCGAGCTCCTTTATAGCATACTTGCAATAAGAAACCCTAACAATAACATTGTTAATGATTTAGGCTCCTATAGTAATTACAAGCTTAGGGCTTCAGGGTTCGAAGGAGCAGGGCTGCCGCAGAATCCTTTGAGAGTTTTCATGGGTTCGAGGCAGGATTTAGGTTCCGGGCTTCGGGTTTAGTGTTTAGGGTTTAGGATTTCGGGTTTCGGGTTTAGGGTTTAGGGTTTAGGGTTTCGGGTTTCGGGTTTAGGGTTTAGGGTTTCCTGCTTCAGGGCGGCCAGATCGAAAAACTCAAGGGTTTCTATCTGGGCATTCACGAACCTTTCGGTGTGATGGTTCCAAAGCCAGAAAGGAGGACATGCAGGGTTTAGGGTTTAGGGTTTAGGGTTTAGGGTTTAGGGTTTAGGGTTTAGGGTTTAGGGTTTAGGTTTAAGGGGACCACCAAAGCTCTGCAGATTCCTGCAGCCCCACTCCAGGACCTCCCATGGCCAAAAAAGTTGTGCTGGCTGTGAACACCCTCCGGCCACCTTCTGCACGATGCAACACCTTATCTTGAAGGTGCATGGGCAATTATGCGTATGGTTACGACCCTAAACCCTAAACCCTAAACCCTAAACCCTAAACCCTAAATCCTAAAACCCTAAAACGAAGACTTACTCTTGCCGCGAGTGAAGTCATTGTATGAGTGCAGTTATCCTCATCGAACTCATACTTCTCAAGTCCCCCTCCTCCTCAAGAAAAGCCTCGGTCCGGCATCCTCAATACCTTATAAGTTTAGGGCTTTAGGGTTTTAGGGTATAGTGTAGGGGCCTTAATAATTAGAAAAGGGTTTGGGGGTATATTCTACTATAAACAGAATAAGGAACCCACAAGAAAGTAT